AGGGCAGGTCGGGCTGGCCTGGAATCACCACCTGCCTTGCCCACCTAGATCATCCACTGGTCCTGATCCTGTTCGTTACCTTCCATGTCCACCTCGTTGACTTCTCCATCATCGGGTGACTCATTGTAGTCATTCATCTCATCCATGTCCTGCATGTCCTCATCGTCCTCTGAGTCCTCCTCACTGTCCTCATCGTCATCTTCATTCTCCTCTTCCTCATCATCATAGTGCTCTGAGGCTGGCTTGCCAATAGGGACCAGGTTGTTGTCCTTCTCCGCGATGCTTTGGAATCAGGCCTGGTGCTGCTGCTCCTGCTGTTGCAGCTCTGTCTCCTCCACACAAGGTCCATCCAGATTAAACCACAAAGTCTCAGTCACACGGGGAAAGAGTGAGGGGAACAAGGTGGACATGGCTCCGTGCCAGGAGGCGGCAGCCGGAGGCGACCCGGAAGCGCTTCTCGCAGCTTTTGGTTCTTGGTTTTTGAGGACTCTCGACCCTGTTTTCCATTGTAGAGATTAATACTATACTAATTCTCATTGCCACTAGCAGTATATAAGGGTTCCCTTTTCTCTACATCCTTGCCAGCATTTGTTATTTTTTGTTTTTTAAAATAATGTGGTAGCATGCTATTTTGATGTTCTCACATATCCTTAGATGTTTTATTTGTATCCCTTAAAAACCCATCTCACTAGGCCGGCCAGACAGCTCAGTGGACTAAAGCACCTGCTTAGGTAGAGTGCAACCACCAGGGTTTGATCTAGGTGGCTACACTGAGATGTGATTGAGACTGGGCATGGTGGGGCACACCTGTAATCCCAGCACTTGGGAGGCTGAAAACAGGAAGATCACTATGAGTCAGATCTACATAGTAAGACCCTGTAGACCCTACACTAACTACAAAAACAACAACAACAAAAACTTCAGGGTTTCTGGGTATTTTTTGAGAGGAAATGATAGGTGGTGGGGCAGAATTCAAGAGGCAGAGGGCTGAGGAAGTACCAGACTTCCTGTTTGTCCACCCCTAGTTCCTTTCCCTTTGGGCCCTTGTCCCTCCATGGAGCTCTGGAGGCTTCCATATCTGTCTAAAGCATCTTTGTGTATGTGCACAGAGACCATACCTGTTCTTTTTTTTTCCCCCTGTATTTTAGGGAACGGTCTACAGGGTGTTCAGGGTCTTAGTCCTAGATTGGACTTAAAGTGATCCACCTGTTTACAGCCTCCCAAGAGCTGGGATTACAGGCTTGTGCCACCACGCCCAGTCTCAATAGCTGGTCTCAGCATGCCCCGGGGTTGGGGCCAGTGCTGCAGGCCTGGGGATCGAACCCCTGGCCCCTGCTCCTGCTTGCAGGCGCTTTAATCGGCTGAGCTATTTGGCCAGCCTGACCATACCTGTTCTATGTGCATGCACACACTAGACACACATGTACACATGGGTACACACATGTGTTCACACACGCACATGTGCATCCTGCACCAAAGGGCCTGGCTGTATGCACTGCAGTGGGTGGGGTGGGTATGTAATTGTGTGTCACAGCTTATCTTTGGGTGTGATGCTGAATCTGTGACTGTCATATGCATCTGAGTCTGAATGTGAGAGAATGTATGTGTCCTATGGAACCGGGGGTGGGGGTCAGGCTGATGCTGGAAGCAGTGTGCTTGTGTGTGTGAGAGTTCCTGCCTGTGGAGTGGAATGTGTATGGGCACATACTAGCATGAGAGTGCTGGGGCACTGACCAGAGGGAGCAAGGAACAAGGTGGGAGGAAGGAAGGAGGCATGAGGAGCATGTCCAAGGGTCCAGAGCCTGGCTTTACCTCCATTGAGTTAGGAACATGGGGAAGCCTCAATCTCCCTTTTGTGAAGCAGCTCCTAGCAGTGTGGGCTTAGACCCAGCCCCATGACTTCAAGAGTTAGGCCTTACAGTCCTGTCTTTGCAGGAGGAGCAGCTGCAGTCTCACGAGAATAAGTTGAGGCAGGTGACCGCAGAGCTGGCTGAGCACAGGTGTCACCCAGTGGAGCGAGGCCTCAAGTCCAAGGAGGCGGAGGAGTACCGGCTAAAGGAGCACTATCTCACATTTGAGGTGGGCCTCCTGGGGGTCCATTGAGAGGGTTCAGGTGGGGGTCAGAGGAGCAGCCCAGTTTCCCCCTCCACCTCCCACCATCACCATCCTTCTACAGCCAGGGACTCCTTATGTGGAGTTCCCTCATGTGGGTGCCCCGGAGGCAGGTGTAATTTAATGATGAGCCATGGCTTTCTGTAGGCCAATTTTACATAGCCCAGCTGGTGATGGTAATCAAACAACTAACCCCCACCTGGGTCTCTCCAGGAGCCCTAGGCCTCCAGCAGAAACAGTGGCACCATTTCAGGAGCCTTCTCTACCTTTACCTCCCATCTGAGACAGGCCCAGCTTCTTCAAAAGATTTTGCAAATAGCCTGCAAAACTTTCAAGCCCTGGCCACCCAACACTCTCCTCACTTGGTCTCATTTTCCTCTTGCACATTTGTTCAGCAACAGAGCAACTTATTTTTTAATTTTTTTATTTTATTGAGAAACAAATATCAATGAGACAGTTTCAAAGCTGATTAATAAGACAGTTTCAATAATTAATACATTGTGCATTGTTATCTTCTTAGTGGTTATCCACAGTACAAGAAGCAGGCAGGATATCCTGTTCAAACACTCAGTACAAATCTTTCTCCTCATTGAATTGAGCGACAGTAGCTGTATACCTATCCTAACTATTCTGTATATACAAATACAAAACGGTCTTTCCTTTGCATCTCCTTTTTTTGTTTAGCCCTGTCAGAAATGGGTATTCCATTGGCATCTAAGTACTCTAGGTGCGTGAATTCAGCAAAACAATCCAACACAGTCCAGCAGTCCACAATAGTAGTGGTTTATCCACAGAAGTTGTTGACTTGAGCCTTTCACAGCTCAGCATATTAATATGGCTTTCCTTTATATACCTTGTTTTTATATTTTTCTACTGGATGTTTAAGACTAGGTAAAGCAAGACCTATATAACAAGAAAAGTAACTTTCAACAGAGCAACTTAATCTCCCTTCTTTTCATACTGTTGCTGTCTACCCACTGCCCTGACTCTGCCTCAGTGCTCTGCAGGTGGGGCTGGGCAAAGCGTGGCTTCTGCCAGGAAGGCCAGGGTGCCAGATGGAGGGGGCAGGAAGCACTGGTCCATTTTGGACTGTCCTGCAGATGGGGGTGATCAGACAGACAAATGAAAGGCTGAGGCTGATCTAGGAAGTCCTCAGAGCAGGAGGGGGAGGACATCTCCATTCTTTTTATTTTTTTATTTTTGACATCTCCATTCTTATTCTCTAGATCTCCATGTTGAATTCTTACTGAGGTGTAGGGTAGAAAGGATAGTTCCCAGGGCAGGCCTGACCTTTTGAAAAACAAAGCTTGATAGCATTTTGAAGTCTGCTCACATTCACTCTCTGAAGTGTACAAAGTGATGGCAAAAGCTGCCATGAGCCATCTTTTGCTAAATACTAGGAGCAAGTCTCATTTCCCTTTTATTGACTGATTTCATCCTTGTACCTTGTATCAACTCTGTGAGGACTGTGTGTATTTTTTTTCCCCTCTTTGAAACAGGGTCTCACTATGCAGTTCAGGCTGGCCTTGAACTCACTTTGTTGCCCAGGCTGGCCTTAAACTCACAATAATCCTCCCATCTCAGCCTCCCCAGTGCTGGGATTATAGGCATGCACCACCATACCTGGCTGGGGACTGTATTCTTATCTCCATTTTATTGGGGGGGGAAACTGAGGCTGACAGAGGTCAGAGTACTTTAGGTGACCCAGCTAAATGCAGAAGCTGGGACCCTAACCTGGGTGACTGTAGCTCCAGTGCATTGACTTCAGTCTCACCTGGCCTAGTGTGGGAGTGGGAGAGATGAGCAAGAAAGGTCTTGCTCCTGTGGTACAGCTGATGGGAAGGAGTCCCCAACTGGTCTTCCAGGATGCCAGATTCTCTGAACTGTGATGAGGCTCTGAAGTTGAGGTGAGACCTTCAGATACTGCTGAATCTCCCTTTTAATATTAGTATTGGTCAATGACTCCCTTTATTCACTTATTAATAGTTATTTCCCCATACCCTTACCAACATTGGACTTATCAAATGTTTTAATTATTGCTAATCTGACAGGCTTAATAATCAGTGTCTTATTGCCATTTTAAGTTTACTTTTTTTTGAATTGTGGTAAATCATTAATAAAATTTAATATTTTAACCATTTTAAGTGCATTACTTCAATAGTATTTATTTATTTATTTATTTATTTATTTATTGGGAACTGAGGATTGAACCCAAGCCCTTGCACTTACCAGGCAAGCGCCTATTCTACTGAGCTATACTATCTCCCCAGCCCCAATAGTGTTTTTTCACAATGCTGTGCATTCAGTCTCTAGAACTTTTTATCTTCTCAGACAGAAATCCTGCACCCATAACAAACAATGACTCCTTTTTCCCTCTCCTTAGCCCTTGATGACTACCCACCTAGTGTCTACCTCTATGACATTTTTTTCTTTTTTTAATGGTGCTGGGATTGAATCCAAGATTTTGTGTTTGTTTTCCCACTTAGCTACATTCCTGCTGTTTTCTTTTTTTTTCTTTTCTTTCTTTCTTTCTTTCTTTCTTTCTTTCTTTCTTTCGACTGAGTCTTGCTAAGTTCTTCAGGCTGTCTTCAAACTTGAGACCCTTCTGCCTCAGTCTCCCAAATAACTGGGATTATAGCTATGTCCCACTGTATCCAATGTTTTTCTACGATGGTGACTTCTCTCTATCCCTTACATATGTGGAATCATGCAGAACTTGTCTTTTTGTGATTAGCATAATGCTAAGGTTCATCCATGTTTTTGTCATGTGTCAGAAGAATCATATTCCATCATATGCACATAATCACTTTGTTTATCCACTCACTAGTTGATGCACATTGGGTTGCTTCCATCATTTAGCTACTGTGAGTCATGCTATGAGAAATGGGAGTGTGCACATATCCCTCAATATGCTGCTTTCATTGCTTTTGGATGTCTACCTAGAGAATTGGTGGTATTGTTGGCTCAGAATGCAACTCTATTTTTAACTCTTTCAGAAACCATCACTGATTTCATAATAGTGGCACCATCTTACAGTCTCACCAGCAGTGTACAAGGGTTTCAAATTCTTCACCTCCTCACCAACACTATTCTGTGTTGTGTTTTGATAGCTGACAGTGTAATGGATGTGAGATGATATCTCTGGAGTCTTGATTTGCATCTTCCTAGTGATTCTTCCAAATGAGTATATTTGTAAGAATTTGTTGTCCATTTATATATCTTCTTTTTGGCATAGCTTCTTTGAAGAAATGTCTATTCATGTCATTTGCTCATTTTTCGTAATTTTTTTTTTTTTTTTTTTTGAGATAGGATCTTGCTGTGTAGTTCAGGTTAGCAGGCTGGCCTCAAATTCATGGTAGTTCTCCTGCCTCAGCCTCTGGAGGTGGGGAGTACAGATGTGCGCCATCACATTTGGCTCATTTTTTGTATATGTATGTATGTGTATAGTCAATGTATTTGGTTGTTACAGGGTCTCACTTCACAGCTCAGACTTGTAGTGATCCTCCTGTTTTCAGCCTTTCCAGTGCTGGGATTACAGGCATGGTGTGCCACCATGCCTGGATTCTGCGACTGGCTCAGCCCGCCCTGGGGGCGGGGCTGGCACAGCATGTGGTGCTGGGAATTGGGGTTTGAACCGAAGTCCCTGAGCTTGCCTAAGCAGGTGCTTTAGTCTGCTGAGCTATCTCGCCAGCCCATGGTTCTTCTTCTTCTTTTTTTTTTTTGTATTATTTAGTAAGGGTCTGTAGGGTCTACAGGGTCTCACTACATAGATTGGACTTATAGTGATCCACCTGTGTTCAGCCTCCTAAAGAGCTGGGATTACAGGTGTGCCACCACACCCAGTCTCAATTGCAGTCTGAGAGAGTGCTGTGGCTGGGGCCAGCACAGCATGCTGGGAATCAAACCTTGGCCAACATACTTTGCCTAAGCAGGCACTTTAATCTGCTGAGCTATTTGGCCAGCCCCTATGGCTCATTTTTTAAATTGAGTTGTTTGATTGTTATTTTTTGGTGTTAAGTTGTAGAAGTTCTTTATATATTTCAGATATCAACTCTTTACTAAATATGTGATTTTAAATTATTTTCTTCTATTCCATAGTTTGCAGCTTAACTCTGTTGGTTGTATCTTTTTTTTTTTTTTTTTTTTTTTGAGGCCAGAAGATGCCTTTAGGGCATTTGTGGTTTGCCCTGAGTATCTGGGTTCGAACCGCAGCACCTTGAGCTTGAGTGCTTTGTTTAAGCAGTCACTTAAACAACTGAGCTAATGGGCAGGACCCCAGTTGTATCCTTTGCTATACAAGTTTTTATGTTTTGGTGCAGTACGATTTATCTATTTTTATTTTTGTGGCCTGTACTTTTGGTGTTCCAGGCAAAAATACATTGGCAATTAATTACATTTTTCAAAATTGGAAGTGTAATTTCTGTCCTTATCCCTTGCTTGTTTTTATTGAGGTTTATTTCCTTTTTTATTGGTTTGTGAGAGTTCTCTATATGCTAAAGAGATTAGTCTTTGACTATACAAGATATACATTTTTTTTTCTAATTTTGTTATATGTTTTTTAACCTTGCTTTTGGCTTTTTTTCTGCCTTTTCCTCAGAAAAGCCGTTATGAGACCTACATCCATCTTCTGGCTGTGAAAATCAAAGTGGGCTCAGATGATCTGGAGCGGATTGAGGCTCGGTTGGCCACCCTAGAAGGGGATGACCCTTCTCTCCGGAAGACACATTCAAGTCCTGCCCTTAGCCAGGGCCATGGGACTGTGACTGGCAGCAAAGCCACTGGGTCTGATACTTAGCCAGTGTGAATGTGCAGGTGAATCCCCCTGGAGGGGTCAGTGAGCACAATTCCAGCCAATGGCTGCTTGGATCAATTCCGGCAGTTGACAGGCAATAAGAGGGGTGTGGAGAGCCCTGTAGGCCAAGGAGATAGAGATGCTACTCATGGCGTTGGGCCTCTTACATCCTTGGCCATCTCTGGCCAAGACTTTGTCCCTGGCCCTCGCTGTCTGCCTCATATATGGCCTCACTTTGTAGGCTAGGGCATGAATGCTCTAGCACCTTCTCACTGGAGAGACTGGGCAGGTTCCACTTTCCCAAGTCTCCCTCATGCCATGTTGGTGAGGTCAGGCTTGGAATCCTCCAGCCCCTGTTTTCTTCCATCCTCTGAGTTGACCAGCCGCAGGTCTGTGGACCACCAGCACTGTCCTCTCCTCCTACCAGCCACCTCTGCAAGCAGGCACAGTTCTGCCGCACATTGCAATAACCCAGGATGTGAGCTGCCTCACTTACTGCCAAGCCGACTCCACTCACATGTGTACCCACCTCTTCTTCCATCCACCGAGGCCACTGCTGCCTCCTTTTTTGTATGGACATAGATGTATATATATATATATATATAATATTAAAAATTTATATATATAGAAGGAACGCTCCTAAAGATGGTTTTGGAACTGCTATTGTCAGTTAGAGGATAAAACCAGATGGAAAAGCTTATTTTAGAGCTCTGTTGTCTGTCAGAAGGGTTGCCACATGGCCCTTGGTGGCCTTAGTGCTCTAGGAGGAAAGATGGAAGGAGTACTGACCTCCCTCCACCTGGCCTTTTCACCTTCTGGCTGACCTGTGACTTACAGCTGTTGTTCTAGTTGATGGTTCTGTACTAAACAGACAAGACATGTGTGTCATTCCTTCTGTTATAAGGGTATCCTGGGAGTGAGTGAGATAGCCCTGTTTGTACTTAAATCTTTATGTTGGTGCTGCCAGGTCAACTTCTTGTACAGACCAACTACACAGGAATAAAAGGCATTTCACTTTGCAGAGGACCACCTGTCAACAAGTCCAAAGATGTGTGATTTAGGAAGGTTCTGGAAGCCATTAATTTTTTGTCTTTGGAAAAGGTGGAATAACAAGTTGCTGATTGTTGATATATCTTTCATGTTCCTAGAGAATAAAAAAGACTAAGCTAAGGCTATATCTGGGAAGAATAGATAATTACTACATTCCTACCACAGATTAAACCTGTGTTCCTCAGACCAACAAGTGGCTGGGGTGAAGGCACCCTCAATGTGACTGATGAGCCAATTCTTCCTAATGTTTAAATAGATTACCGTAGTTTGGCCAGCAATTTGGCTTCTGTGGTAAATATTTAGTTAACGAGATAAGCCAACCTCACAACTGAATACCTAACATTTACAAGTCCATTCACATTTGATTCAGGGACATGTGACTAGGTGGAGAGATGTAGTGATTTAAATCCAGATTATTTAAATTGGATCAGCGGAAGTATTTTGTAACCAAACCATCTGGTCCCTTCGTTTTGCTCAAGGGAAATCAATGATGATTTAAATGGAATTGAAAAGGCAATGTGGCAACATAAAAGAGCTCGTTGTGTTTCTCCACACTGCTTCCAATGTCCTTTGATTTTTGGTTTGTGTCCCACCCTCCACTTCATGAGGGTGAGTGATGACAACAGAGCGTGAGCGCTGTCAGCTTCAAACAGATGTGCTTCCCCAAGCACTGGTTGTGCCACCCATCAGTAAAGAAACTTTTAGTTCGCCTCCTTAATTGTATAATTATTTATTTGTAAATTATATACATGTACTACTGTACTAAAATACATTATAAAACATACACCAAAAATAGAAATTTAAGAAAAGACAAGATGAAAATAAATCTAAATCAAAGTTCTAATATTTCTTCCTGTATTCTAATGAACCATCACGTTCTTTCTACAACTTCTGAACCTAATATACTTATGTTCTTGGGCTATCCAAATCCAGGCCCTGGTGAACTGTGGTAAGTGGTTTGCGCCACCTGGTGGTCTCTTGTGGTGACCGCGGGTTTAAGACTCCTGCAGTGGCTGACCGTGGATAATTCTTTTGTGCCTTCACTATGGCCACTGATGAGGAGCAAATGCTTGTTGCTGGCTGTGTTGTGGACAGTGTGATGAGGAAAACGTCAGACAAGCTCCTTGTTCTGGTGGGGTGCACAGTCTAGTGGGGAGACAGATGGGTGGTTACTATTTAGGATGCTGGGAGAGGCTGAGGAGAGACATCGAAAGTGATGCAGTACAGGGAAATATTGGGGGTAGGGAGAAAAACTGACAGAGGTAACCACGAAATGTCCTAAGTGCACCAGGCTATCTTCTGGTGGAAGGGAAGTTGTGTAACAGGACCATAGTACTTCCTGAGAGACCATGTTAAAGGTTCCCCCAAGACCTGAGGGCCAGAGTGAGGAAGGGACTCTAGTCAACATGCTCTTAGGTCCCAGGCATTCCAGTGAAAACATACAGATAGATGACATGAGGGGAAAGAGCCAAGGCTTTTTAATAGATTGTGGACCAAGTAGTGCAGGAATGATAGACTCTAGGATAGACAGTGAAGATACCAAACGGGGTCATGTAAAGGTCAACGAGTTCACCAAAGGTCACTCCAAATTAATTGGGGACCACATAGAGACTGGTGAGTTGGAGTCATGGAGCTGGTTTCTGACTGAAAATTTAGAAGGCAACAACTCAGAATCCCCAAAGGATTAGATAACACTAAAGTGAGTCATGATAATGTCAGTGGGTTTACCAGGAGGTCATAGAGTTTGAGATCCCATAGAAGTCAGTGCTCACAAAGAAGAATTATTGGCCCTCAGAAAATTTATAAGCAAACTCAGAGCAGAGCACCTGGATGAGACCGTTGGATGGGGCCTGAGAGAGGTCAGTGATTTTCAGGTCTGTGCAGTTAGTTATTTGCCGTCATTTCTTTGTAATAGGTGTTTTCCCCAGCATCTCCACAATGAATACAATGGCAAAAGCCTTTCTTTATTTTTCTCCATCTCCTCCCTCTCAACCAGTGTTTGCCACTTTGTGATTCAAGGATGCAAGGCACAGGATACTGTCAACATTGCCATTGAAGTAGCCACTTACTAGACATCTCCCAGGAGCAGTCCTGGCATAATATCCAGAGCAACCCTTTGAGGTAGGTGTTTGCATCTTCATTCGTGTGGAGGAAACCTTGGCCTAATAAGTCACCCAACTAGTAAGGGAGAAGAGTTGGCACTGGAACAAACTCAGGCCCTTTGGGTGCCTAAGTCCCCTCAAGCTTATACTTTTCTGTTTTTTCCTTCTGTGGGTCTCTTGACTAAACCTTTCCTGGGGCACTCATGGGTGTGCCTGTGTGTGCACAATCTGTCCACCCACACAGCCACAGATGCGCACTGCTCTTTGGAGAGAAGACTTTCTCATGTGCTGGCTGGAACCTACTGGTTCCTGGTGGTGGGTACTGGTTTACTAAATTAGTCAATGAGGGGATAAGCCTGGACCTACATCTGCTGTCTCCATACCTGGAATCATGTACCCTTCATCAGTGGCTACAGGTTTAGGCAAGCCCTGCCTCTGAGGGGATATAAAGTTGGGGAAAGAGCAATATCCTGTGGGCTTTAGAGCTGCAGGTTCTGTGGTCTCCTGGCAGCAAGGGTACCCATTATGGTGCCTTGCATGTCCAGACTTTGCCTGTGACGTGCCCAAGACCTCAAGGGTCATTTTGCCGAAACTTCCCCAGTGCCAACCCCACAGCCCTTCCCTCTTCACCTACCCAGGCCCGGAAATTGTTGCCTCAGTCCAGCCCCACAGCTCCAGGGCAGGAACTGGGCCCAAGTTCTAAGGCTGAGTTTGAAGCAGAGCAATTTGCGTCAGTCTCTTGGCCAGGTTCCCTAGCAGCCAGGGGGACTCCTTGTAAATGTTTGGGGAAATGGGAGGAGGGCTGGAGCCTGTTCTGGGACCTGGGACTGTGGAAATTGGAGAGAGGGTCACTTCCTGAGGGACTGCCCTGACCCTCTGCAGCCTTCACTGTGACAGCCACTCCCCTCATCAGACTCATCTGTCCTCCCTCATTACCTGGGGGCTAGGTACACACAGTCAAACAGCAGGTATTTCTGATTTTATTTATAATATAAAAATGTTCAAGTGTCAACAGTCAGGTGTTTGGACATTTCAGGACAGGGCTCCCATTTGTTTGTTTGAGAAATTTTTTTCTGAACAATTGGCTTTTTCTCTTTCTTTCTTTCTTTCTTTCTTTCTTTCTTTCTTTCTTCTTTCTTTTTTCTTTTCTTTTTTTTTTTTTTGACAAATTGCATTGGATCCAGTTTTGAGGGTTGGGGAGGGCAAGACTGGAGAGGGACTGGAAGTCAGGTGGGTTGGGGGCTGGTGAGAAGGAAATGGTGTAATTTTATTGCTAAAAGGGGAATAGAATACATTGTGGAGTGGCTCTTCTCGGTCCCAGCGTGACCATGCATCCAATCTAAAGAATCTGAAATGCAAAGGACATGCAGGCAGAAAATAGAAAAGACGACCTGTAAACGAAGGTGCTGCAGAGGACAGAGGGCATCCTGGAGGCCGAAAGGGAGGAGGAGCCGTGAACATTGGGCCCCTGGCAGAGCTGCCCCCTCCCTGGGCTGGGACTGTTGGGGAAACCTCCTTTTGTGTTCTCTTTTAGCAGCTGTGAAGAGCAGGAAGGGTCCCTCCCCATTCTGGTTGCTGTCCTGAGCCTTTGTCTCTCCAGTGACAAAGGGAAGTCACCTGACACCAATTCCAGGTCTAAGCTTAGGATCCTGCCTTCTCTCAGGGCGCCCAGGACTCCAGATCTGGTCCGGGAGCAAAGCTACTTCTGACTTCAGTTTCTTGCTCAGTACCAGCACCCTTCTTTCCCTGCTTTCTCTCATTCCCCACCAACTCGGGACCCAGCCCCAACCCAACTTCGCACAACCCAGACTTCTCTCCAGGAGCCCCAGAATAGCATACAGCAAAAGGCACCACAATATAGGTTTCTATTAAAGAGTCAAAAAATTGGCCCATCTCTCTTTTTTTTTGTTTTTGTTTTTTTTTCTGAAGCTGTAAATC